CAGTCTGCTCCCCAAGAAAGGCATTCCTTCACACGGTCTGAGGGCTTACTCAGTTTTTAACCAGGAATGCAATTAAAGGAAGGAAAACGCGGGCAGGTTACCAGGAAAGATGATCCAACAGTGAGCTCTCCTTACTGGGGAACATAGCATGGGGCCCACAGCAGCAGTGGAATTTCCCCAGTCGAAATCACTGAAAAACAGAGCATGAGCTTACAGTCCAACACTGGCCCGGGGGAGACAAGATAAGCTACTAAGATTTTTCCAACTCCGATTCCTTGGAGCACTGTGATTCCTCTTTGTCTGAAACTATTCACTGGCTACAATTTAAAAACAAAATCAATCCAACAAATATTGCTAAGCAACTGGCTGTCAGTGCCATATTCCACCTCTCCAAAAACGTTTGCCCTCTCTGTGACCTTCTGGCAGGAGTTTGCTGCTGAGACCTTGCCAGATTTTGTATATTAAGCTATTGTTGGCAATTCCAGATGCTTAGCTAGTCTCTAGGCTTGCAGTGACTGCAGGTCTGTGAGTCTTGCTGCTATCACATAACCTGGAGAGGGGCTGAAAGACAGAGAGGAAACGTTCAAAATCTGGTCAGGGACAACGTGGTCAGAGAACCGAGGCTGCTCTCACTGGCCTTGATTCTGCACCCGAGAGCCCTGGCCCAGGCACAGGAGCTGGCCCAGGGAGGAGGGCTGCAGTTGTCACTCCTCCTTCCGTGGGCCGACACGTGCAAGCTCCGTCGGGCAGCAACGCTTAGCTGCGAGGCTGAAGGAGGGCCTGCTCCCCAGCGGGCAAGATGCTGCAGAGGCAGGGGAAACCCTGTCCAAAAGCCTCTAGCCCTTCCTATGAGCTTTCTCCAGAGACGGCCAAGCCTCTCCAAGTCTCACGCTTGGCAGGGGCCTCTCGGCACTGCTCGCTGCACAGCACTGCACCAGGGCAGAACCTGGTCAGGACTTGCCTTCCCACAAGGTCATCCCAAGGGGGATCAAGGTCAGGCTCTCCGACCTGGCAATCTTGCAAGAAAGTAGAGCACTTCCAGCCTGGTTTGCACAAAGTAGCCTAAACAAGATTCTTTCTCTAAAGCAGGTCTCCAAGCACAGCCTCTGGCCGGTCACACAGTATGAGCCTTGGCTGTTTCCCATCTCTCACGCTAGCCCAGGCAGTGGTAGTCTGCTCTCCCCTTTGTCGGAAGGAGCTTTCCTAGCCGAAACTCCCAATGGGCTCTCCTTACACTTTTTCCCTGCAGAGCCATCAGCACCTGCAAAAGCAGGCACTGCTGGTTTGCCCTCATCCACCTAGCCAGGCTGGGCAATTCCCGGTGCCCCCTGCAACGGGCTGTATCCACAAGACCTGCTCCCAAAGTACGCAGCAGAGCCAGAGTCTCGCTGCAGCAGCTCCCCTAACAGCTGCACAGTGACAAAGGATTTATTTCCACAGCGGGCTTTTCAAACCACGTACCTGCCTTTCTTCCTCCGCCACCATCATGCCTGCATCCTTTCTCCCTCCACCATCCCTCCCTCCTTGGCCTTCAGTTCTGCGCCTGCCTCTCTGAGATCTCAAGGCAGCCCCATTTCCTCCGCGCCTCTCTAATGCTTGGCTAATGGTGCATCATCCGCAGCATTGTTCAGACGTATTCAATAAATCAGAATCCAATTACCGGGTTAAGGAAATTGGAAGCAAATGCAATTAGCCCCAGCCCCTCCCACGTGCTATGCCCTCGCTTCCTTCCTTAATGAGAACTTTTCTTTTGCAGCAACGCTCAGTGCTGTGTCTACGCACCCAGGAACAAGGTGGCTGCCACGCCGCATCGGGGGCGGGGGGGGAATAGAGAGGGGGCAGCTGAGTCGATCTTCCATTTTAATAGGGCAGATGGTTAATATCCCTGGTATTAGTTCTCTCCAGGAATAGCACGCTCACTCTCTGCTCAGCTATAACAGGCGTCTGTCAGGGCTGTCAACTCCTCTCTGGAAAAAGGAGCATCTGGCCCCTACTACAAGAAGCAGCTTTAAAAAAAAAAAAAAAAATCCACTATCAATAGCTATAGGGCTGGAGAACTGTGCCATTTCAGTATTTCTTCCTAAGCCACACATTTGGATTGGAATGGGGAAAATTCAGAGTTGGCTCAGATACCAGCTGTTGGGTTGTTCTGATATGCAAACTCCAGGTACCAGCTGTGGTCTGGATCCAGCACAAGGGTCCCACCTTTGCCCCCAACTCGAGATACACCCAGATGACCCCATCCAGAGCCACAGGCTGCGCCACATCCTTGGGAAGCAGAAAGCCACACTGAAACTCAAACTACACGAATTGTGGTGAGAAAAGTAGAATGGGGGAACACACAAGAAAGGAGGAATTACTCTGCTGAGAGAAGAAGATTTCTCCAACCTGTGCAGACAAGCCAGGCTCCCTCCCTAGTGCCTCTGACCAGTTCCTGGCAGATAGCGCTGAACCCATGGAATGCTATCAACCCGAAAAGCGTCTGCTGCTTCCTCAGAGCAGCAGGAAATGGAGGAAAGCTTGCCCCACCTGGGGTTATCCACCTAGCTAGGAGGTGCTGCCTTCTAACCTGTCTCTAACCAGCATGGGCCATGTCCCCTCTGCCCCAGGTCAGGAGCTGGTGCTAACACACATGCAGAGCACGGGCATCCTCATGCCACATGCTGTCCTTCATGACCCTGACTATAGCTCTCAGAGGAGGCCTCAGTTTTAACCTAATTCCCAGCGCTCTTGCCCATTATACTGGTGGGCATCAGCTGCTACATCAAGGACAGCACAGGCTGTCCTTGCACCAGTACAGGCTGGGGGTTGACCTGCTGGAAAGTAGCTCTGCAGAGAAGGACCTGGGAGTGCTGGTGGACAACAAGTTAAGCATGAGCCAGCAGTGTGCCCTTGTGGCCAAGAAGGCCAATGGGATCCTGGGGTGCATTAGGCAGAGTGTTGCCAGCAGGTGGAGGGAGGTGATCCTGCCCCTCTCCTCAGCCCTGGTGAGGCCCCACCTGGAGGCCTCACTGTGTCCAGTTCTGGGCTCCCCAGGACAAGAGAGACATGGCGCTACTGGAGAGAGTCCAGCGGAGGGCTACAAAGAGGATGGGGGAGTGTCAAGAGGATGGGGCCAGCCTCTTCTCCGTGGTGCCCAGCAACAGGACAAGAGGCAACGGGCAGAAACTGAACCACAGGAAGTTCCATCTGAACCTGAGAAAAAACTTCTTCACTGTGAGGGTGACAGAGCATTGGAACAGGTTGCCCACAGAGGTAGTGGAGTCTCCTTTGCTGGAGATATTCAAAACCCGTCTGGATGCGATCCTGGGCAATATGCTCTAGAGGACCCTGCTTGAGCAGGGAGGTTGGACTAGATGATCTCCAGAGGTCCCATCCAACCTAAACGATTCTGTGATTCTGTGACAGCCTTCCCTAACCCATACCTGAGGGCCAAGAAGATTTCACCTCCCGACTCTCCAGTCGGAAATAGGAGGATGAGGAGAAACTGCCCACACAGAAGCCTTTGAAGGGCCTCTGGGAGAAGAAGGAGGCAACCCTTCATTGACAGGAGTGGGGAGGGGAAGACCATGCTAGGCCAGCAGCCAGGCACCACTCCTTGGGAAGAGCTCACACAGGCTGCAGACCAGGGGTCTGCGGGTGGCAGTCCAGGATATGCTGTGCTCTTGGGGGACAGGGAAGAAAATGGTGCCAAGGGAACCTTAGGGGCATTTCTTACCACAGCAGAAGGGTACCCAGGCATCGCTGCATCCAGTGGACCGAAAAAGCAAAACTACAGAGCACCAACAAGCTACAGCCACAAAGGGCAGCTCTTCCTTCTACGAGTTCAGACCCTGATGCTGCTGGAGCTGGCAGAGCAGGAACCCAGTGAGTTCTTCCCTTCTTCTTCCCCTCACTGAGCCACAGTCCCTTATTCCCCACACTAACTCTCCTTTCTGCAGCGCCAAATAAATGCTGAACAGTTATTTTATTCCCCTTGCATCATCTTATTGCTTGCTCCACAGAATAAGAGTCTTCAGCACCAGCAAAGACTAGGCCCACTATGGAGATGGGCTCTCTTGCACGCACATACTAACTGCTGCTAATCACACTAATGTCTTCCTACTTTTCGGGGAAAAATGTCTCTTCCTTTTTTTCACTAGAGTCCTGTAATAATCCACACATACAGGAAGTAATGTTTTCAATTGCTAGTATAGGACTACTGCATATGACAATAAACCCACTAAGATGAAACACTCAATCCTAAAAATATAATCCAGGCAGAATCATCCCTGGGCGCATCCACTGGGCGCAGGTAAAGGGATATCCCCAAAAAATGGCCCTGAAGAGGTACACAGCATCTACCTATATAATGAAGTTTTGTGAGGAAGGTCAGGAGAATCAAAAAAGAGGGAACAATACTGCTGTTGCCACCTCGTGATTTGGTGAAATCAAGAGAGATTTTCACCATTTCGTCATGAATCACCATCACTGAATACTCCTCTTAAAGCTGTTTTTTCTGGATGCAAATGAATTGAAAAACAACTCTTTGCCTTCGCTATAAAAACATTATTTTTCATTTGCACAGCCACTGTTGAGGTGACACCAAACAAGACACTATTTGCGACAGCACAAGGACAATCTGGGAGACAAAATGGTCCTGCAGAGCAGGAAATAAAACTCCCTCATCCAATCTTTCTGCCCAAAGGAAATAAAGACGGCAACTAGGAAACAAGCTGTCTGAATTCATTAAAAGTCTAAGGTGGCATTAACAGAGCACGTAAGGAAAGTACATTCAGATCAATAGGCCCTGTATCTCATCAGTGCCCTCTTTGAAAATCGAGGCATGTTCCCAAACTCTGTACACAGCCTGCCACGACTCCGGCCAATTAATTTCCCCTAAATAAAAACCCTACAGTAGAGTTTTAGTTCCCCCAAGGATACCTGTAAGAACAGCCAACTTATGTCCCTTGGTAAGGAGCGCTCTATGGCCATGGGAGGGGATGGGGAGGAGGCAGAACCTGTAATGTCTCGTGTCGCGGACAGCACGGTCACTGGGGATCCTCTCGCTCTCCCGCTGGTTAAAGGCATGGAGCCGGTACGGGTCCTCGCCGCCCTTCCACTTCCGGGCACTCAGGTATCTTCGCTCTTCAAACTGATCCCAAAGGTCATCCCAGTCCACGTCTGAGCCCTGCACGCACAAACAGTTGATCTCATTAGAAAGGTGAGAGAGGGGAGGCTGCAACACGGGCATCCCGCTTGGAGAGCCACGATGTCCCATCAGCACACGCAGCAGCCCTGGGGATTTTTAGGGCAGGCAGGCAGGCAGCTTCTCATCGCGCTGTCGGGGAAGACCTGGTCCACCAGCCTGCCAAAAACCCCACTTCAGAAATCTTTCTGACTCCAGGAGGAGGTGTCAGTCCCATGTCACAAGCAAACATCACAAGAACACTCTCACCAGGAGCCTAATTAGGTCTTCAATATTTTCTACAGTTTTGAAATGACACATTAAAGAGAACCTGCCAATTTGAATTTAAAATGACTAATTTCAAACCCAGTTTAGTCTCTGGTGGATCCCCCTCTGAAACAGCACAGTCTTGAAAAATACAAACACATCAAGATTCGGTTATGCTTTTAATTTCTCTTCCACCAAAAATAAAGGTATTACACACCACATTCCCCTTCTCCCCCATTACCCTTTGCATGGGTCCGTCAGGAAAAGGATATAAAATTAGAGCATCTTCACCTAATACAGTCCCATGACAGGGGGATCACAAGGGGATCAGTGCACAAGAAACATCAAAACATCAGAAATTCAGATGACACAGATCAGGTATTTCTCTTTTAAAAAAATTGCTACTTCTTCCATTAGTCAGAGGATCATCTGCAACAAGACGACAGTCAAACACCATTGTGCAGAAAAGTCACTTGCAAGTCAACGATGGCCCTTTCAAAAGGGCCTTTATTGCTTATATCTTCACAGTTCAGTGATCCCAGGATCGACCACAGCATCGTGGTTAGCCCTAGTTTGGGACAGGGAGTCCCCATCTAATCGCTTTCCCTCCTCCAGGACAGCAGGCTCTTCACAGCTATACCCTGGTCCCAGGGACTGATCCAGCGAGGGATCCCGGCAGAAGTGGGCTCCCGTACTCTCAGCATGATCTCAGTCCATCTCTAATGCATCAGATTGCCCACTGAGGACTTCAGCTCGACCACGCAGCAGGGGGTTTCCCAGGACAGAGAGGGCTAACACATACGTAATATGCTCTCGGTCCCCTCGTGCAGGCCACAGCACTGAACAAAAGGGACAGAGCCACCTTTTGGGGGTCACTCTATTGCTCAGACAGCTGTCAAGGGGGTTAATCATCTCTCAGTGGCATTGTGCCTGCTCACAGACAGCTAACACAATGCACAGCTGATAAAATCACGTCATTACAGCAGCATAACCTCTTTGATCTCAGCCTACATGTAATACAGAGAGATTCAAACATTTACAGACATCTCAGCCCCAAATAAAATTGTGATCTTATCCAATAATTGATCTTTGGGTTTTTTTGTTTTTTTTTGTTAACACCATCTCAAAGCCGATTTTGCTTGCTAATAGCACAAAATGAAGCTTTTGAAATTTTTTATTCGAAAAATGGGCGATTTTTAATCCCATAATTGATTTTAATTCACATCTGACAGCACATTTTCTAAATTAATAAGGGGAGGAGGAGCATAGGCTTCTGCAAATGAACCACCTCCGTCCTGTACAGCAGATCCAGCAGCAGGTCCAAGACAGAAATCTCCTGGAGCACCGTGTGCAGCACCTCCCCAGTTCAATGCAGATACTGGTCTCCCCTAAGCATTTAGGGTCAGCTGCGTCCAACGGGGCCTCAAGCACTGTGTTAGACAGGCTGGCAGAGTCTGCAGGTGGGGTGACATATAACGTACGACCAAAAAGGCAGCGAGCTCAGAAGAGGCTTGAGCTGCCTCAGTAACAGAGGGGAGCTGGAGATCCCTCGTAGCTTTGTGCTTTCAGCTACTCACAGCCTTACTGACGTGACTCTCCTCCCTTATGACTTCTCCTAGTATTTCCTGCTATCACTTATCCTGTTGGGCCAAGCTCGGCTCTCACTGTTAATCAAAACTGAACTCCAGCACCTTGCTTGGCACTACTTCTGACCTGCTCTCAGGAAGCGAGGAGCCGGGCCAGGCTGCTGGCTATAGGGGCTCCCAGATACAGGGTCATTTTCATCCTCCACTGGTGTAACTTCATGGCCCTCTCAAGGAGTTACTCCCGAGTTCACCGCAGCACAAGAAAGACCAGAACACACCTTTAAGCAATAGCTGTACAAATAATAATACCCTGCTGGCTGTACTTTATCTCCTCCCTGAGGGCCAGACTCATTCCTGTGGTGGGTCCGGTTGCAATCAAGTCCACTGGTGGCATTATACACAGAGCAAACGACGCTCATGGGTTCCACCTGCGCGAAGCCCTAACCAGACAAGGCCTTTCCCCTCTCACGTGGGCCAAGCCAGCGCAGCAAGGGGAGAGCGAGACAAATCCTCTCCCAGCTTGGCTCTGGCTGCACGATCTTTATTGAGAGCCATCTTGCAAAAGGCAAGAAGACTATGACTTCATTTCCATCTCCCAGGGTGCAAGTATAGTTGCTGACAGTTAGAAAAATCATTTTTTGACTTACAAAAAGAGTGCATTAGATAGAAAGAAATGAATATGAAGTCCCACTTTGTCATTTTTACAAGCTCTACCCTGCTTACACAAGGGCTCCACTGCCCTCTATGTGGGCTCTGATGCCTCTAATGACAACTGCAAACTAGTTTGTCTTTTTGGAAGTCAGTCCAACTTCCCAGCATGCAAAGGATGAAGAAAGTTATTAAAACTGTAAGGTCACTCCAGTCCATCAGGAGGTTTATGAGCAGAAGGATATACATAACCAGTCTGCAGGCTTTTGAGAGGATTGAAGTATACTGAGTGATAAATACTGTTTACGTTTTTCTAAGGCATCTTGTAAAACATGATTTACCACCACAGTAAAAGATAAGGGAAAAATGAGCCGATTGCATCTCGGAACCAGTGAAGCCCTGACGTTTATAAGATTTCATGACGACTCTGGGGGGCCCGGTTCTGTTAAAACAACTGTCAAGGAGTTTCAATTCCTAAATGTTAATATGGTAAAGAAAAATAAAAGTTGTTTTATCAAGCTTAACAGAAAGAGAAATCATTCTTAAAAGTGGCCATGTAATATTGACGCTTGTTGGATTTTTTTTTTTTTTAAATGTCATTTAAGCCTCATATTATTGGGCAGGCTGGAAAGGAAACGGACCTACGTTGCAAGTGGAACTTCTGAAACTGCCCAGAGGTAAATTCATTTCTAAATAATAGAGGAAAAGAATAGACCTCTCTATAGTCCAGACTTAAGTCTCCGTTTCCCTGACTAGCACAGAGCCACCTGTACCACTGCAAAGTGGATCTAGGCAGAGTTTCCTGTAAATCCTTGGCACCACAATGCCCCACACTTGCATGCTCTGCACAAGACAGAAAGGCAGCTGTGGCTGTGCAGTGAAGAGGGTGTGCACTGGGCAAACGTCTGGTGGCTAGAACTGGAGGGATGTCAAATATATATGGCATAATGGCCAGGAAAATGCAATCAGCTGGCTGCTCCGAGGTCAGCCACATGTTTCACTCATCTCAGTTAGCACTTCATGTGCTACAAGGGTTCCAGTGGGGAGCTGCAGTGTTAAACCCTGAAGTCTGGCCAGATGAGCAAAACCAGGGGAGCAGCTTTCGGGGGAGTTTTAGGTAGGCTCACGAGACTGAAAAGGACTTCTGCACTTCTAGGTCTGGGACAGCATTCCCCAACATGTAGAAGCAGTGCTGCTAAGCTGGTTAACAGATTATTTCCTGTCACTGTCTACCCCTGCTACTGTCCTCTTGTTACCCACTGTAATTCACAGAATCACACAGTGGCTGAGGTTGGAAGGGACCTCTGGAGATCATCTAGTCCAACTGCCCTGCTCAAGCAGGGTCACCCAGAGCACATTGCCCAGGACCCTGTCCAGATGGCTTTTGAATATCTCCAGGGAAGGAAGCTCCACAACCTCTCCGGGCAACCTATTCCAGTGCTCAGTCACCCTCCCAGTAAAGGAAGTAATTCTTCTATCTCCCTGATTTTTTATGCCCCATAGAATTTAGAGAAAACATCCATAAGCCTTTCAGCCTTTGTTTTTCTATATTCAACAAACCAAACACTTTTCCTAGGGAGGCAGACACACTGTTACTCCTCAAATGTCCTTCTCTGCACCTGCTTCCACATGAGCACGTTTTTCTTAGACGCAGAGGATCACAGGAGTAAATGAACAAATGCACAAATACTAGTGCCTTATATAGTGACATTTTTCTCCTCGTCCTCCACTAGAAATATCTTCTCTGGGGCATCCTGGGGTTGCACTTGACTTTTTACCACGGATTACATTATTGATTCAAATCACAGAGAACAACATACACAAGTATCTTTCCCCGCCTCAAATACTTCAGCCCACTTTGATTAATATTGTCCTCAGCCCAAGTTCCACTTTTTGTGCCAAGGAAAATTATCAGTAGGATGGTTCCTAAAGACTGGGTAACCAACTACATATCTGAGATCAAAAGAAAAGGATTTCAAACAGGGACAAAAGCTTATTCTAAGCAGTATCTGGCCACAGTGCTTCTGCTACAGGACAAGCCCATGGATTGGGCTGAATTAATTTTCACAGCCAAAAGTAAATACCTGGTTTTGATCATCTGCTTTCGTTCCACATCTTCTGCCCAAATTCCTGCTCTGTTACACCAAGGAAATCTCAAGAAGTTTTCTGAGGAGTTGGCATCCTTCAACTGTCAACCCTGAACTTCCTGAATAGTTAACTGAAATTCAAGTGGGATGCCCGGAAACAAACGTGTCCCAACCTCTGCCAAAAAACACCCACCCAAAATAGGAAGAGAAATCAAGACAGTGTCCTTGGCAAAAAAGCTTTCAGCTATTTCAGTGCCAGGAGACAGAAGAATTCCTGACCTGCACACAGATGGCTCATCTGTTTCTCGGTACCTGATCCAGGAAGGGGAAAGCAAGTTAAAATGAAAGGAGAAAATCCCTTCACTCATTCAGGGACAGCACATCAGTTATGGGTTACTGGATAAGGTCTTCATTA